TTTTTGCCCCAAACCCACCCAGGGGCGTCTCGTCCAGGGCGGATTTGGCTCCCAGGTCGGCGCCGTGGGCGACCAGGAGCTCGGCCAGCGGCAGCTTTGGGGGGAAAACGGGGAGAAATGGTTAAAAATGGGGAGAAACACCAAAAAATGGGGAAAAAGGGGGAAAAAACAGAAAAAAATGGGGGGAAAACAGAAAAAAATGGGGGGAAAACACGGAGAAATGGTGAAAAATGGGGAAAAATGGGGGGGAAATGGGGAAAAATGGGGGGAAAACAGGGAGAAATGGTTAAAAATGGGGAGAAATGGGGAAAAAGGGGGAAAAATGCGGGAAAAAAGGAAAAAATGGGGAAAAATGGGGAAAAAATGGGGAAAAAATGGGGAAAAACGGGGGGAAAATGGGGAAAAAATGGTGAAAAATGGGGAAAAACACAAGAAAATGGGGAAAAAACACAAAAAAATGTTGAAAAATGGGGGGAAATGGGGAAAAATGGGGGAAAACGGGGAAAAAAGGGGAAAAATGGGGAAAAATGGGGGGGAAATGGGGAAAATGGGAAAAATGGGGAGAAATGGGGAAAAAAACACAAAAAATGGTTAAAAATGGGGAAAATGGGGAAAAAATGGAGAAAAGGGGGGAAAAATGGGGAAAAAAACCCCAAAATGGGGAAAAAACGGAAAAAATGGTTAAAATGGGGAGAAATGGGGGAAAACAGGGAAAAAAAGGGGAAAAAATGGGGAAAACGGGAAAAATGGGGAGAAAACTGGAAAAATGGGGAAAAAACACAAGAAAATGGGGAAAAAACTGGAAAATTGGTGAAAAATGGGGAGAAAGGGGGAAAAAATGGGGGGAAATCGGGGAGAAATGGTTAAAAATGGGGAAAATGGGGAAAAAATGGGGAAAAAGGGGGAAAAATGGTTAAAAATGGGTGAAAACAGGGAAAAAAAGGGGGAAAAATGGGGGAAAAACAAAAAAATGGGGAAAAATGGGGAAAAACAAAAAAAATGGGGAAAATGGGGGGAAATGGGGAAAAACACAAAAAAATGGGCAAAATGGTGAAAAATGGGGAAAAAATGGGGGAAAACAGGTAAAAAGTGGGGAAAAAAACCCAAAAATGGGGAGAAAACCAGAAAAATGGGGAAAATGGGGAGAAATGGGGAAAAAGGGGGAAAAAATGGGGAAAAAATGGGGAAAATGGGAAAAATGGGGAGAAATGGGGAAAAAAACACAAAAAATGGTTAAAAATGGGGAAAATGGGGAAAAAACACAAAAAAATGTTGAAAAATGGGGGGAAATGGGGAAAAATGGGGAAAAAATGGGGAAAATGGGGAGAAATGGGGAAAAAAACACAAAAAATGGTTAAAAATGGGGAAAATGGGGAAAAAATGGAGAAAAGGGGGGAAAAATGGGGAAAAAAACCCCAAAATGGGGAAAAAACGGAAAAAATGGTTAAAATGGGGAGAAATGGGGGAAAACAGGGAAAAAAAGGGGAAAAAATGGGGAAAACGGGAAAAATGGGGAGAAAACTGGAAAAATGGGGAAAAAACACAAGAAAATGGGGAAAAAACTGGAAAATTGGTGAAAAATGGGGAGAAAGGGGGAAAAAATGGGGGGAAATCGGGGAGAAATGGTTAAAAATGGGGAAAATGGGGAAAAAATGGGGAAAAAGGGGGAAAAATGGTTAAAAATGGGTGAAAACAGGGAAAAAAAGGGGGAAAAATGGGGGAAAAACAAAAAAATGGGGAAAAATGGGGAAAAACAAAAAAAATGGGGAAAATGGGGGGAAATGGGGAAAAACACAAAAAAATGGGCAAAATGGTGAAAAATGGGGAAAAAATGGGGGAAAACAGGTAAAAAGTGGGGAAAAAAACCCAAAAATGGGGAGAAAACCAGAAAAATGGGGAAAATGGGGAGAAATGGGGAAAAAGGGGGAAAAAATGGGGAAAAAATGGGGAAAATGGGAAAAATGGGGAGAAATGGGGAAAAAAACACAAAAAATGGTTAAAAATGGGGAAAATGGGGAAAAATTGGGGAAAAACAGGGAAAAAATGGGGAAAAAACCCCAAAAATGGGGAAAAAAACAGAAAAAATGGTTAAAATGGGGAGAAATGGGGGAAAACAGGGAAAAAAAGGGGAAAAATGGGGAAAACGGGAAAAATGGGGGAAAATGGGGGAAAACAGGAAAAAATGGGGAAAAAGTGCGGTTTTGGGTGAATTTGGGGTGTTTTTGCGTAAATTTGGGGTGTTTTTTGGGGGTGTTTTTGGGTGAATTTGGAGTGAATTTGCGGTGGTTTGGGCTGTGTCTTTGGGGTGGTTTTGGGTGAATTTTGGGTGTTTTCGGGTGTGTTTCTGTGTGAGTTTTGGGTGGCTTTGGCTGTGTTTTGGGTGTATTTCAGGT